ACACATCTCAACAATGATTGTATCTTGGGCTCGTCCGGGATTTGAACCCGGGACCTCTCACACCCTAAGCGACAATCATACTCCTAGACCAACGAGCCACGTTATTAATGATAAGTTCTCCAGTAAACTAAAAAAATTCAAGCCAAAACTTCCACAGTTTATTATGTTGTCCTAAGATAAAAAAGAGGCTATGTTTCATTTTGTATTGTTGATTTAGTTAGTATTTTTGACAACCAGCTAGTGACCTTGTTCTTTTCAGTCAACATGGCAATCCTTTGAGGATCATTGTCAAGATTTCCATGACATTGAGTGCATCTGTTATGCTCGTGTATGTAACAAGAACATTTTGTCCTTACTCTTTGATTTTTAGTACACAGTAGATTTAAAAAACCTAAAGAGTTGGCATAGAAACAAGATTTAGTTGAGGGAAAAAATTAATTTTTGAGTGAGGTTGTGTTGCAAATGATTGAGTTCCTCTTTGAATAGAACTCATTCTCCTCAATTGCCCTTTATTTATATTAAGTGACTTCAGAACAAGTACTTTCTAGCAATGAAGGCTGTGCTCGACTGGGATTTGAACCCCGTATCTCTTGCACCCAAAGCGATAACCATGTTCCTAGAGCAATGACCCTCTTGTATATGTCTTCAAAATTCATGAAACTCAGGGATGACCTTTTCATCTGGTATTATCTACCAGCAAACGTGGAGATCTTTCACTAGCCGACTGTTCATGTTAAAGTTCTGTGGGTTCAATATAATTGGGAGTCGGCGGAAAGAGAATGATTTTCCTGGGTCTTTATCAAATGAATAATAGGCTGTGTGTGAAGGAAACCCCAACTTGTCAGTTTTTTTTCCACTTCATTTATGTCTTATTCATACTTGGCAAGAACACATTTCAACAAAGAGTTTTTCTAGGGCTCGTCCGGGATTTGAACCCGGGACCTCTCGCACCCAAAGCGAGAATCATACTCCTAGACCAACGAGCCTCTTGTATAACTCTTCAAAATGTATGAAACTCAGGGATGACATTTTGATCTGGTATTACCAAATAGCAAATGTGGAGAGTCTTTCACTAACCTACTGGTCAAGTTAAAGTTCAGTGGGTTCAATATAATTGGGAGTTGGCTTAAAGAGAATGTTTTTCTTGGGTCTTCATCAAATGAATAATAGGCTGTGTGAAGAAAACCCCAACTTGTCAGGTTGTTCTTTCACTAGAATGATGTTTAAATTATACTTGGCAAACACACATCTCAACAATGATTGTATCTTGGGCTCGTTCGAGATTTGAACACGGGACCTCTCACACCCTAAGCGACAATCATACTCCTAGACCAACGAGCCACGTTATTAATGATAAGTTCTCCAGGAAACTAAAAAAATTCAAGCCAAAACTTCCACAGTTTATTATGTTGTCCTAAGATAAAAAAGAGGCTGTTTCATTTTGTATTGTTGATTTAGTTAGTATTTTTGACAACCAGCTAGTGACCTTGTTCTTTTCAGTCAACATGGCAATCCTTTGAGGATCATTGTCAAGATTTCCATGACATTGAGTGCATCTGTTATGCTCGTGTATGTAACAAGAACATTTTGTCCTTACTCTTTGATTTTTAGTACACAGTAGATTTAAAAAACCTAAAGAGTTGGCATAGAAACAAGATTTAGTTGAGGGAAAAAATTAATTTTTGAGTGAGGTTGTGTTGCAAATGATTGAGTTCCTCTTTGAATAGAACTCATTCTCCTCAATTGCCCTTTATTTATATTAAGTGACTTCAGAACAAGTACTTTCTAGCAATGAAGGCTGTGCTCGACTGGGATTTGAACCCCGTATCTCTTGCACCCAAAGCGATAACCATGTTCCTAGAGCAATAACCCTCTTGTATATGTCTTCAAAATTCATGAAACTCAGGGATGACCTTTTCATCTGGTATTATCTACCAGCAAACGTGGAGATCTTTCACTAGCCGACTGTTCATGTTAAAGTTCTGTGGGTTCAATATAATTGGGAGTCGGCGGAAAGAGAATGATTTTCCTGGGTCTTTATCAAATGAATAATAGGCTGTGTGTGAAGGAAACCCCAACTTGTCAGTTTTTTTTTCCCACTTCATTTATGTCTTATTCATACTTGGCAAGAACACATTTCAACAAAGAGTTTTTCTAGGGCTCGTCCGGGATTTGAACCCGGGACCTCTCGCACCCAAAGCGAGAATCATACTCCTAGACCAACGAGCCTCTTGTATAACTCTTCAAAATGTATGAAACTCAGGGATGACATTTTGATCTGGTATTACCAAATAGCAAATGTGGAGAGTCTTTCACTAACCTACTGGTCAAGTTAAAGTTCAGTGGGTTCAATATAATTGGGAGTTGGCTTAAAGAGAATGTTTTTCTTGGGTCTTCATCAAATGAATAATAGGCTGTGTGAAGAAAACCCCAACTTGTCAGGTTGTTCTTTCACTAGAATGATGTTTAAATCATACTTGGCAAACACACATCTCAACAATAATTGTATCTTGGGCTCGTCCGGGATTTGAACCCGGGACCTCTCACACCCTAAGCGACAATCATACTCCTAGACCAACGAGCCACGTTATTAATGATAAGTTCTCCAGGAAACTAAAAAAATTCAAGCCAAAACTTCCACAGTTTATTATGTTGTCCTAAGATAAAAAAGAGGCTATGTTTCATTTTGTATTGTTGATTTAGTTAGTATTTTTGACAACCAGCTAGTGACCTTGTTCTTTTCAGTCAACATGGCAATCCTTTGAGGATCATTGTCAAGATTTCCATGACATTGAGTGCATCTGTTATGCTCGTGTATGTAACAAGAACATTTTGTCCTTACTCTTTGATTTTTAGTACACAGTAGATTTAAAAAACCTAAAGAGTTGGCATAGAAACAAGATTTAGTTGAGGGAAAAAATTAATTTTTGAGTGAGGTTGTGTTGCAAATGATTGAGTTCCTCTTTGAATAGAACTCATTCTCCTCAATTGCCCTTTATTTATATTAAGTGACTTCAGAACAAGTACTTTCTAGCAATGAAGGCTGTGCTCGACTGGGATTTGAACCCCGTATCTCTTGCACCCAAAGCGATAACCATGTTCCTAGAGCAATGACCCTCTTGTATATGTCTTCAAAATTCATGAAACTCAGGGATGACCTTTTCATCTGGTATTATCTACCAGCAAACGTGGAGATCTTTCACTAGCCGACTGTTCATGTTTAAGTTCTGTGGGTTCAATATAATTGGGAGTCGGCGGAAAGAGAATGATTTTCCTGGGTCTTTATCAAATGAATAATAGGCTGTGTGTGAAGGAAACCCCAACTTGTCAGTTTTTTTTTTCCACTTCATTTATGTCTTATTCATACTTGGCAAGAACACATTTCAACAAAGAGTTTTTCTAGGGCTAGTCCGGGATTTGAACCCGGGACCTCTCGCACCCAAAGCGAGAATCATACTCCTAGACCAACGAGCCTCTTGTTTTAGACTTCAAAAATAATGAAACTCAAGGGTGACCTTTTCATCTGGTATAATCTACCAGCAAACGTGGAGATCTTTCACTAACCGACTGTTCATGTTAAAGTTCTGTGGGTTCAATATAATTGGGAGTCGGCGGAAAGAGAATGATTTTCCTGGGTCTTTATCAAATGAATAATAGGCTGTGTGTGAAGGAAACCCCAACTTGTCAGTTTTTTTTCCACTTCATTTATGTCTTATTCATACTTGGCAAGAACACATTTCAACAAAGAGTTTATCTAGGGCTCGTCCGGGATTTGAACCCGGGACCTCTCGCACCCAAAGCGAGAATCATACTCCTAGACCAACGAGCCTCTTGTACAACTCTTCAAAATGTATGAAACTCAGGGATGACATTTTGATCTGGTATTACCAAATAGCAAATGTGGAGAGTCTTTCACTAACCTACTGGTCAAGTTAAAGTTCAGTGGGTTCAATATAATTGGGAGTTGGCTTAAAGATAATGTTTTTCTTGGGTCTTCATCAAATGAATAATAGGCTGTGTGAAGAAAACCCCAACTTGTCAGGTTGTTCTTTCACTAGATTGATGTGTAAATCATACTTGGCAAACACACATCTCAACAATGATTGTATCTTGGCCTCCTCCGGGATTTGAACCCGGGACCTCTCGCACCCTAAGCGAGAATCATACTCCTAGACCAACGAGCCACGTTATTAATGATAAGTTCTCCAGGAAACTAAAAAATTCAAGCCAAAACTTCCACAGTTTATTATGTTGTCCTAAGATAAAAAAGAGGCTATGTTTCATTTTGTATTGTTGATTTAGTTAGTATTTTTGACAACCAGCTAGTGACCTTGTTCTTTTCAATCAACATGGCAATCCTTTGAGGATCATTGTCAAGATTTCCATGACATTGAGTGTATCTGTTATGCTCGTGTATGTAACAAGAACATTTTGTCCTTACTCTTTGATTTTTAGTACACAGTAGATTTAAAAAACCTAAAGAGTTTGCATAGAAACAAGATTTAGTTGAGGGAAAAAATTAATGTTTGAGTGAGGTTGTGTTGCAAATGATTGAATTCCTCTTTGAATAGAACTCATTCTCCTCAATTGCCCTTTATTTATATTAAGTGACTTCAGAACAAGTACTTTCTAGCAATGAAGGCTGTGCTCGACTGGGATTTGAACCCCGTAACTCTTGCACCCAAAGCGATAACCATGTTCCTAGACCAATGACCCTCTTGTATATGTCTTCAAAATTCATGAAACTCAGGGATGACCTTTTCATCTGGTATTATCTACCAGCAAACGTGGAGATCTTTCACTAGCCGACTGTTCATGTTAAAGTTCTGTGGGTTCAATATAATTGGGAGTCGGCGGAAAGAGAATGATTTTCCTGGGTCTTTATCAAATGAATAATAGGCTGTGTGTGAAGGAAACCCCAACTTGTCAGTTTTTTTTTTCCACTTCATTTATGTCTTATTCATACTTGGCAAGAACACATTTCAACAAAGAGTTTTTCTAGCACTCGTCCGGGATTTGAACCCGGGACCTCTCGCACCCAAAGCGAGAATCATACTCCTAGACCAACGAGCCTCTTGTATAACTCTTCAAAATGTATGAAACTCAGGGATGACATTTTGATCTGGTATTACCAAATAGCAAATGTGGAGAGTCTTTCACTAACCTACTGGTCAAGTTAAAGTTCAGTGGGTTCAATATAATTGGGAGTTGGCTTAAAGAGAATGTTTTTCTTGGGTCTTCATCAAATGAATAATAGGCTGTGTGAAGAAAACCCCAACTTGTCAGGTTGTTCTTTCACTAGAATGATGTTTAAATCATACTTGGCAAACACACATCTCAACAATGATTGTATCTTGGGCTCGTTCGGGATTTGAACCCGGGACCTCTCACACCCTAAGCGACAATCATACTCCTAGACCAACGAGCCACGTTATTAATGATAAGTTCTCCAGGAAACTAAAAAAATTCAAGCCAAAACTTCCACAGTTTATTATGTTGTCCTAAGATAAAAAAGAGGCTGTTTCATTTTGTATTGTTGATTTAGTTAGTATTTTTGACAACCAGCTAGTGACCTTGTTCTTTTCAGTCAACATGGCAATCCTTTGAGGATCATTGTCAAGATTTCCATGACATTGAGTGCATCTGTTATGCTCGTGTATGTAACAAGAACATTTTGTCCTTACTCTTTGATTTTTAGTACACAGTAGATTTAAAAAACCTAAAGAGTTGGCATAGAAACAAGATTTAGTTGAGGGAAAAAATTAATTTTTGAGTGAGGTTGTGTTGCAAATGATTGAGTTCCTCTTTGAATAGAACTCATTCTCCTCAATTGCCCTTTATTTATATTAAGTGACTTCAGAACAAGTACTTTCTAGCAATGAAGGCTGTGCTCGACTGGGATTTGAACCCCGTATCTCTTGCACCCAAAGCGATAACCATGTTCCTAGAGCAATGACCCTCTTGTATATGTCTTCAAAATTCATGAAACTCAGGGATGACCTTTTCATCTGGTATTATCTACCAGCAAACGTGGAGATCTTTCACTAGCCGACTGTTCATGTTAAAGTTCTGTGGGTTCAATATAATTGGGAGTCGGCGGAAAGAGAATGATTTTCCTGGGTCTTTATCAAATGAATAATAGGCTGTGTGTGAAGGAAACCCCAACTTGTCAGTTTTTTTTTTCCACTTCATTTATGTCTTATTCATACTTGGCAAGAACACATTTCAACAAAGAGTTTTTCTAGGGCTCGTCCTGGATTTGAACCCGGGACCTCTCGCACCCAAAGCGAGAATCATACTCCTAGACCAACGAGCCTCTTGTATAACTCTTCAAAATGTATGAAACTCAGGGATGACATTTTGATCTGGTATTACCAAATAGCAAATGTGGAGAGTCTTTCACTAACCTACTGGTCAAGTTAAAGTTCAGTGGGTTCAATATAATTGGGAGTTGGCTTAAAGAGAATGTTTTTCTTGGGTCTTCATCAAATGAATAATAGGCTGTGTGAAGAAAACCCCAACTTGTCAGGTTGTTCTTTCACTAGAATGATGTTTAAATCATACTTGGCAAACACACATCTCAACAATAATTGTATCTTGGGCTCGTCCTGGGTATTTGAACCCGGGACCTCTCACACCCTAAGCGACAATCATACTCCTAGACCAACGAGCCACGTTATTAATGATAAGTTCTCCAGGAAACTAAAAAAATTCAAGCCAAAACTTCCACAGTTTATTATGTTGTCCTAAGATAAAAAAGAGGCTATGTTTCATTTTGTATTGTTGATTTAGTTAGTATTTTTGACAACCAGCTAGTGACCTTGTTCTTTTCAGTCAACATGGCAATCCTTTGAGGATCATTGTCAAGATTTCCATGACATTGAGTAAATCTGTTATGCTCGTGTATGTAACAAGAACATTTTGTCCTTACTCTTTGATTTTTAGTACACAGTAGATTTAAAAAACCTAAAGAGTTGGCATAGAAACAAGATTTAGTTGAGGGAAAAAATTAATTTTTGAGTGAGGTTGTGTTGCAAATGATTGAGTTCCTCTTTGAATAGAACTCATTCTCCTCAATTGCCCTTTATTTATATTAAGTGACTTCAGAACAAGTACTTTCTAGCAATGAAGGCTGTGCTCGACTGGGATTTGAACCCCGTATCTCTTGCACCCAAAGCGATAACCATGTTCCTAGAGCAATGACCCTCTTGTATATGTCTTCAAAATTCATGAAACTCAGGGATGACCTTTTCATCTGGTATTATCTACCAGCAAACGTGGAGATCTTTCACTAGCCGACTGTTCATGTTTAAGTTCTGTGGGTTCAATATAATTGGGAGTCGGCGGAAAGAGAATGATTTTCCTGGGTCTTTATCAAATGAATAATAGGCTGTGTGTGAAGGAAACCCCAACTTGTCAGTTTTTTTTTTCCACTTCATTTATGTCTTATTCATACTTGGCAAGAACACATTTCAACAAAGAGTTTTTCTAGGGCTCGTCCGGGATTTGAACCCGGGACCTCTCGCACCCAAAGCGAGAATCATACTCCTAGACCAACGAGCCTCTTGTATAACTCTTCAAAATGTATGAAACTCAGGGATGACATTTTGATCTGGTATTACCAAATAGCAAATGTGGAGAGTCTTTCACTAACCTACTGGTCAAGTTAAAGTTCAGTGGGTTCAATATAATTGGGAGTTGGCTTAAAGAGAATGTTTTTCTTGGGTCTTCATCAAATGAATAATAGGCTGTGTGAAGAAAACCCCAACTTGTCAGGTTGTTCTTTCACTAGAATGATGTTTAAATCATACTTGGCAAACACACATCTCAACAATGATTGTATCTTGGACTCGTTCGGGATTTGAACCCGGGACCTCTCACACCCTAAGCGACAATCATACTCCTAGACCAACGAGCCACGTTATTAATGATAAGTTCTCCAGGAAACTAAAAAAATTCAAGCCAAAACTTCCACAGTTTATTATGTTGTCCTAGGATAAAAAAGAGGCTGTTTCATTTTGTATTGTTGATTTAGTTAGTATTTTTGACAACCAGCTAGTGACCTTGTTCTTTTCAGTCAACATGGCAATCCTTTGAGGATCATTGTCAAGATTTCCATGACATTGAGTGCATCTGTTATGCTCGTGTATGTAACAAGAACATTTTGTCCTTACTCTTTGATTTTTAGTACACAGTAGATTTAAAAAACCTAAAGAGTTGGCATAGAAACAAGATTTAGTTGAGGGAAAAAATTAATTTTTGAGTGAGGTTGTGTTGCAAATGATTGAGTTCCTCTTTGAATAGAACTCATTCTCCTCAATTGCCCTTTATTTATATTAAGTGACTTCAGAACAAGTACTTTCTAGCAATGAAGGCTGTGCTCGACTGGGATTTGAACCCCGTATCTCTTGCACCCAAAGCGATAACCATGTTCCTAGAGCAATGACCCTCTTGTATATGTCTTCAAAATTCATGAAACTCAGGGATGACCTTTTCATCTGGTATTATCTACCAGCAAACGTGGAGATCTTTCACTAGCCGACTGTTCATGTTTAAGTTCTGTGGGTTCAATATAATTGGGAGTCGGCGGAAAGAGAATGATTTTCCTGGGTCTTTATCAAATGAATAATAGGCTGTGTGTGAAGGAAACCCCAACTTGTCAGTTTTTTTTTTCCACTTCATTTATGTCTTATTCATACTTGGCAAGAACACATTTCAACAAAGAGTTTTTCTAGGGCTCGTCCGGGATTTGAACCCGGGACCTCTCGCACCCAAAGCGAGAATCATACTCCTAGACCAACGAGCCTCTTGTATAACTCTTCAAAATGTATGAAACTCAGGGATGACATTTTGATCTGGTATTACCAAATAGCAAATGTGGAGAGTCTTTCACTAACCTACTGGTCAAGTTAAAGTTCAGTGGGTTCAATATAATTGGGAGTTGGCTTAAAGAGAATGTTTTTCTTGGGTCTTCATCAAATGAATAATAGGCTGTGTGAAGAAAACCCCAACTTGTCAGGTTGTTCTTTCACTAGAATGATGTTTAAATCATACTTGGCAAACACACATCTCAACAATGATTGTATCTTGGACTCGTTCGGGATTTGAACCCGGGACCTCTCACACCCTAAGCGACAATCATACTCCTAGACCAACGAGCCACGTTATTAATGATAAGTTCTCCAGGAAACTAAAAAAATTCAAGCCAAAACTTCCACAGTTTATTATGTTGTCCTAAGATAAAAAAGAGGCTGTTTCGTTTTGTATTGTTGATTTAGTTAGTATTTTTGACAACCAGCTAGTGACCTTGTTCTTTTCAGTCAACATGGCAATCCTTTGAGGATCATTGTCAAGATTTCCATGACATTGAGTGCATCTGTTATGCTCGTGTATGTAACAAGAACATTTTGTCCTTACTCTTTGATTTTTAGTACACAGTAGATTTAAAAAACCTAAAGAGTTGGCATAGAAACAAGATTTAGTTGAGGGAAAAAATTAATTTTTGAGTGAGGTTGTGTTGCAAATGATTGAGTTCCTCTTTGAATAGAACTCATTCTCCTCAATTGCCCTTTATTTATATTAAGTGACTTCAGAACAAGTACTTTCTAGCAATGAAGGCTGTGCTCGACTGGGATTTGAACCCCGTATCTCTTGCACCCAAAGCGATAACCATGTTCCTAGAGCAATGACCCTCTTGTATATGTCTTCAAAATTCATGAAACTCAGGGATGACCTTTTCATCTGGTATTATCTACCAGCAAACGTGGAGATCTTTCACTAGCCGACTGTTCATGTTAAAGTTCTGTGGGTTCAATATAATTGGGAGTCGACGGAAAGAGAATGATTTTCCTGGGTCTTTATCAAATGAATAATAGGCTGTGTGTGAAGGAAACCCCAACTTGTCAGTTTTTTTTTCCACTTCATTTATGTCTTATTCATACTTGGCAAGAACACATTTCAACAAAGAGTTTTTCTAGGGCTCGTCCGGGATTTGAACCCGGGACCTCTCGCACCCAAAGCGAGAATCATACTCCTAGACCAACGAGCCTCTTGTATAACTCTTCAAAATGTAT